GCTAATCCTGGCTTGGTGATAGAACTCAGTGATGGAACACTTGGCTGGCATATGAGACCCTTGGCTTGACTTTAAGATTGTTGAATGAATGAATGAATGAATGAATGAATGAATGAATACAATAATTCTAGCAATTTATCTCCATACAAAACTATGTCTAGTAAGGAGATCTATCTTTTCTGAAACCTGATTGTATATGTCACCAACAATAATACAGAAGGGAACAAATGTTTCATCTGCTAACCAGAGATCACAGATCTGAGTAAATGATCAGTGAACATTCGCCCTTAAAAATACCCCTGCACTAGTCACTTTTCTTGTTGCTGTGACAAATGCCTAGTAAGAAGTGACTTCAGGGAAGAAAGGTTTACTTGATTGGGGGTTCCGAGGGGGTGGTGGGGGATGGGGTAAGGGGACAACATAGGAAATGTAAATAAATCATCCAATAAAAAAAAATGGAAAAAAAAATAAAGGGAAAATAAATAAAATAAAAAAAAAAAAAGAAGGGACACAGTCCCTCATGTCAGGAAGGTGTAACACTATGTGAATGCAATGGCCGGTCACCTGTGTCCACAGGTATGAAACAGAGAGACAAATGCTTGTGTTTCTTCTCATTTCCTGTTTGTGCACTCCGGGTTCTCAGCCCATAGGATGGGAATACAAACATTCAATGTGCACCTTTTCTCCCTGGCTAAACCTTTCTAGAATTGCCCTTATAGACATGTTCACCGGTGTTTGCAAAGAGATGCTAAATCCTGCCAACAGGACAACAAAGACTAACCATCATAAGCTGCTGGCCAACATCTGCTTGGTGCCTGAACATGGTTCCACACCCCTTGGCTTCTTGCTGGTAGCCAATACCCAGCAACTCTCCAGTCATCATTTCCACCTAAGAAAGGATTTGAGACTGGTTACCTGCCCTTGTTTAACCGATTGTACTTTAGAATAATCTAAAAGTGTAATTGGAGTTACTCAGAGTGAAGTAGTGTTAAGTGGTGACTCTAGGCTCCACAATGACTGGCTCTGGGTCACTCCCTCTTAACCTTGTCTGTTCTGCTCGCCCCTCCCTCATCTATAATCTATGCTATGTCTTCACCTACTTGTGTTTTTGAAGCATACTCAAGACATTTAAAGGCTAAAGACATACATATACACAGCTGTCCTTCAGGACTCCTTGTGGTATTTGCTCCAGGGCCTCTGTGGATATCCTAATGTACAGGTATTTAAGTCTCTTATACAAAATGGCATAATATTTGCATACAACCTACACATATTCTGTGTTCTTGAATCACCTACAGAAGTACTGCATGTAGTACCTAATCCTGGATCAATGCCATGTAAGTAGTTGTCATCTGTATTATTTAGGGAATGAGGACAAGAAGAGTCTGTACATGCCTTAGCACAGAAGTGACAATCATGGCCTAGTACCAGGAAGACTAGGTTTGGATGAAGCCCACAGAAGAGCTTAAGGGAGATGGGCAGCAGAAGCCAGGACAGGCCATCAGGGAACTGACACACTCCTCCTTTGTGTACACTTACCGTAGGGCTTGGTGTACATCAAATTCAAGCTTTGCTTTTGAAACCTGTTTCTGTGAATAGTCTCAGTTTGCAGTTGGTTGCATCTGTGAGTGTGGAGCCAGGAGATGCAGAGGGCTATGCAGCTTTTACAGTGCTTTAGTTTGCAGAGATATTTTAGGTTCACATCAAAACTGAGTGGGAAATATAGAGTTCCCATAGATACTGCCCTCTCAGACACTTTGTCATATAGCACATTTGCTATAATGAGCCTCTACTGACACCTCATAGTTCTCATAGATCCTTAGCTCCTCCCAAGCAACATTTTATCTCTCATATAGCACATATTGGTGAAGAATTCTTGGTTTGAAATAGTCAAGATCCAAGCTGTCCTCATACCACCACCAGGTGATGGCTCTTGGAAGTATCTACTATTGTGTAGTGTCTCTATGGCCTCACCCTCTTTCATACTAGTAAGTTTTCCCTGTAACCTTCTTGAAGAACTATAGCTGTTTGCTTTCATTTCCAGCAAAGCTGACTGTGTCAATTGGCCACCAGGATGTTTCCTTGACTTGAATTTCTTGTATTGTTAAGTAGATGACTTTGTTGATGAGTTCTAATCCTGGTTTCTAAGTAATGTTCAAAGACTATTTCCTGCACGCTGTCCCTGATTTGGTCATAGTGTTGGTGACTATGGATAGAGAGAGTGAATTCAAAGGACAAGAGGCCCATGGCTCCTTCTATTTGTATTCATCCACATCTCAGGACAAAGCCAAAGTGTATACAGAACACTTGTCATAGTCGAATTTAACCTGAACCTTCAGCTACCGATAGACTGGAACTGAGTCTCAGTACCACCAAAGGCAAATGATAAAATAGAATGTAAAAACAGTGTCACCAAAGGAAAACGACAGGACAAGGTACAGGGACGGGGAGCCTCCAATGGTTAAGCTGCACGTGTATCTGTGTGCTGATTCAGTATCCAGACACTAGCAGGATTTCAAGAAAGATATACAAAATTTGAAATCAACACCGCAAAATTTCTAGTATGGAATCTAGAAGTGAGTTGAAACCCAGTGATTAGTCTGAGGGCATTTAATAAATAGCCTGGTGCCCTGGGACTCCCTCTCACCCATACAGCTGGGCAAACACCTTGACCTATACCCTCTCCTCCCCCACCAGGGTCAGGACTTATTTTTATTTTTCCTGAGAAGATGCAGAAGCCTTAGAAATGCCATGGAGAGCAGGCTACTGACTGCTCAGACTTCAGAGATTTCCCTCCTCACTTGGTTCCTAGAGGGGCTCCCTCACATGAGACTCTAATCTTTCCCTTGGAATCTGACCAGCCCCAAAGACATGACCCAAATATGATAATGCTGAAGACTCCCTATTGAATGTCCATCCAGGATGACTGACATGTGCGTTGACTGGCCCTGCCCAGTATCTAGTATCACACCCTCAGTCAGCTTTAGAGAGCCCTCCTTGCAAATACCATTATGTATCCACAGTGCTGACTTCAATGCACAGACGGATGAAAACAGAAACAAGATCCTTCAAAAAGAGGACTGTGACTATCTCCAGGAAAATAAGTACGTGGGTCCTAAGAGAATAGTCAGAGGACAAAAAGCTCAAGTTAAAAATTTCTCAGAAAGTAGAATCAACACAGAAAACAAGAAGGAAAAGATTTTTAAATTAAAGGACTCAGAAAAAAAAAACCCAACTGAACTAACCCAACTGTCCAGGGCTGTTGAAGATTTATAGGAACAATTCCAGAAAAATCACAGAATTTGCGACATTCTACTCCCTAGTAGGAATAAAAGAGCGTCAGTCCAGAACAGAATCATGAAATTCCAGAAACTAGGCAAAGGAGAGATTCTGCAAGCAGGGAGAGGACAACTGGGCAGAGACTTCTGAACACTAAGGAAAAATGATGTCCAGTCTAGAATTCTACTTCCATAGAAGGGACCAATATAGATTTTCTTCAGACATGAAAGCCTCAACATTTTTACTTCCAATGTATTTCTTCTGTAGGAAGCTATCAAAGGCGAGACTCTACCAAGTGAGGGAGCAAACCACAATGGTATAAAGAATTCTTAGAATTGAATGAAAATAAAAATACAACATACCAAAATCTATGAGCCACAATGATGGGCAGAGGAAGGTTTAGAGTACTGAATGCCTATGAGAGAGAGAGAGAGAGAGAGAGAGAGAGAGAGAGAGAGAGAGAGAGAGAGAGAGAGAGAGAGAGAGCTCAAATAGTCTAATGATCTAATGATGAACTTGAAAGCCCAGGGAAAACAAGAACAAACACTACACACAAAATAATATTAAGAAGAGGTAGCAAAAAATCAGGGCTCAAATTATTGAAATAAGAAAGAAAATAACAACACAAATAGTTAATTTCAATGAAATAAAGACTTGGATCTTTGAAAAGATCCAATGAAAATCTTTAGCAGGACAGGGCTAAAAACTATATTCTACTCATCTTTATTTTAAGGCAGTTTAATTGAAAAATTGCAGCACTCTTAACATAATAGTAAAGTACTCTACAGCACACACCCACTACCTAGCACTCAGCAGAGGTGTAATGTCACACGGTCCATGCACTTTCCTTGAGAACTGCATGCAAGGCCTACAGAGAGGGGAGTCTGTGAGCTGCACCTGTGTCAGTGCCAGCAGTGCTTGTCTTGCAATCTGCAGTGCCCAAATCATTTCTAGAACGTGCCAGTTTCATAGCACATTGATATAGAAAGTCTTAGAAAAACCAAATTACTTCTAGTTATCCTTTAGTTCCAAAGGTGAGACCAATGTGTTAACTCTAATGAAGCCATGCTGGACCACACAGGCATGGCCTTGCTAAAGCCAGACGTTCCCCAAGGCAGAAAGCCTTGGAGCACTTCCATTCCTCATCATGTCCTGTTTGTCACCTGTCCCAGGCCTGCGTGGTCTCTCGACTTTCTTCTGACTCATTGTGTTGCTCTGTCTCCTCTTCACCACCAATCTTACCTTCTCTAACTCAAGCTTTTGAAATCCCCTTCTTCCAAGAAGTCCCCCATGACTTGTTGGAAATTGTTCCTGAACCCGTTCATTTTGATATGGGATTTTATGCCACCAGCCTCCATTCTCTATGCCCCATGTTTCCATGTTTTACGTTGCTGTAGTCATCGACCCCCATGTGTGCTCATGTGCTCTCCCTGAGCTGTGGCCCCAGGGGAAGGATGACAAAAACTGTGTTGAACTGGGAGGAAGAAGTGGGTTGTGGTGAAGTTCAGGGCCAGGAAACCAGGGTTGTAAGTGCAAGCATGGGTCTCCAGGCGCCTCCCAGCCTTAAAGTCTCAGAAGCAACTCATCTCTCTGTTGGCCTGCCTAGGAGGTTGCCCTAGCACTGTCTGCAGTGAAGTAATTTAGTGTCTGTGGCACACTCCTAATGAAATTAACATGACACTTGATAAATGTTATCTAACAATGAAGACACAAACACAAGATAAAATAGAGAACCCCACTATTTATTTTGGATTTTATAATCAGGAATATAAATTACAGAGCTAATAAAAATGTTGAAATAAAGATATTTAGAAGTCTTACAGAGAAGGAAGACTACTGCCTTTGTGTACTGTATTTATTAGGTGTTTAAAATTACAAATGGTTCTGTACTTCTGCTTTGGAATTTATTTGTTTGGTTATGTTAGATATACCAGTGCACTGAGAGGAGACAATGGTAGACATACTTATTTTGCCAACAAAGGATTAAATTTGTACTTCCAGTTACTGTGATAAATAAATATACATTTATTCACCTCAAATAATCCATAATGTACATACAAACTGTGCTCAGGAATTACCTGAACTAAAAGTGACACAGAATTTGTTTTGTCAGCTGGAAGAGAGGGGTCAACATTATCCACGGGTCGGTCTGAAGAGTGAACAACAGAAGCTGAGGGGAGCATGGAGTGAGGTGAATGCTGCTTGCCGGTCACAGTGACCTGATTCTACTATGCAAGCCACTCAGCTGTTAGTCACTGCTCAGTGCCTGGTCACCCGGGGACCTCAAATCTTTACAAAACACAGCCTGTGCCAGAGCAGAATCTTTCCAGCTATGGAGGAAGACATTTCGAAGTATGGGCAGTGGCAGAGGGGAGTGACCTGCAGGAGGGTTGGGAGTGTTGCCTTGCCGAGCCTGGCTTCATCTTTAGGTTGCATTGAAGACCACAAGCCTTCCACAGGGCTTGTGGGTATGACAGGGCCTCCACATAGAGGTCCTTGCGAACCCTCCCCACACCACTGCACAGTGACGCATCAACTTAAGGGTGAGAACCAGAAGCTTCAGTGTTCAGCACTGGGAAAAATGAAAGTCAGACTATGAAATTCAGAATTCATCCGAGGACTTCTGGATCACAAATTATCCAAATATTAATATTTTCATATGTAGACTGTATACTTTTCTTTACAAAAAAAAAAAAAAGGAGCTTAGGACTACTTGTATGAAATGGTGGTTTTAAAGTTTGGGATGAAGCTCCAAAACCTGTGACTTCAAATCTCTTCTCAAATCCTGACCTGGGCTGGAAACTGCCAACAGCGAGGGCTAGTAGAGGGGCACTGAGAAGCGTATTAACAAACACCATGGGCCACTTTTGGACCACACTGGAGAAGCCCCCAAAACTCAAACCAAGGAACACTGAGCTAAGAAAAACATTCTGAAGAGTATGCTACACAGCCTTACAAGGACCAAAGCTAGTAATAACAAGGATTGCTTATTTGGACATTTAAACAGGTTGAAATTAAATACCCATCAGCATCTTTCTGCACCATCATGCTGGGGAAAAGAGAGAAGTTAAATGCAGTGCTTGGACCGGAGTCTCTCTCTGGCATAGGACGAGGACAGTCTCCCATTCGCCATGTCTGGTTCTCTTCTTGCACAGAGCCTATGTTTTCATTACTGTTGGAGCCGCAGCTTGGAAGCAGGTGAGCTGCAGGTGCATCCTGCTCTTGAACTTGTTGAGCAGCTCCTCCAGTAACCTGAAGGGAGGAGAGAATCTTACATTCTGACAGGAAAGGTCTGTGCTAGCAAGTCAGACGTCAACATAGTATGAACTAGTCATCAGAGAAGGGGGAGCCTCAGTTCATAAGCAGGTAAGCTTACAGAGCACTTTTTAAATGAACACTTAATGGAGGAGGAGCACCCAGCCTATTGTAAATGGTGCTGTCCCTTGGCTGGTGGTCCTAGGTTGTATAAAAAGAAGATGGAGCAAACCATGTTGAGCAAGCCAGTAAGCAGCACTCACTCCTGCATGGCTTCTGCATGGCTCCTGCCTCCAGGTTCCTGCCCTGTTTGAGTTCCTTCCCTGATTTCAATGATGATCAGTGATGTAAAAGCATAAGACAAACAAACCCTTTACTCCCAAGTTGCTCACAGTCATGGCGTTTTACCAATGATAGTAACTCTAACTAAGATCAGGTGGTTGTCCTAGTTTGTTTTCCTGTTGCTGCGATACAATACCATGACCAAAACCAGCTTGGAGAGATTTACTTGGATTACAGGTTATAGTCCATCAATCATCTGGGGAACCCAAGGCAGACACTCAGGGCAGGAGCTTGGAGCAGAAATCACAGGGCAGTGTTGTCCACTGGCTTGACATCAGGCTTACAGCAAGCCCTTCCTTACACAGGCCAGGCAACCTGCCTAGGTATGGAACAGTGCAGTGGACTCAGTGCACAGTGGACTGGGACTTCTTATACCAATTAGCAATCAAGAAAACGCCCTCGGACATGCAATAGGCCATAGTGATGGAGGCAATTCCTTGACAGAAGTTCCCTCTCCCCAGTATGTCAATTTGACAGTCAAGATTAGCCATCACAATAGCTTGGCAACTCAGCAAATATTCAGGGAGCTGGTGGCCCAGGGCTGACTGCCATGCTGTGTTTAGAGGAAAGCCAAAAAACCAGTGCCCATGGAATCTTAATCAGCAACAGAAATATCTCAGCTAAAAGTAAAGAGGCTAGTCAAAGAATGCATTATGAAACAGGTCTGTATTTATCTTCATTCTCTTTACACTCCTTCTCTAGAATCTGCCCTAGAACAGAATAACACTTAGATCTACTCGTTTAACATTATTCAAACAATCAAGAAAAACTAAAATTCTTTTTGTTTTCCAATTCTATGACTGCTGGTGAACCCAAGGCAGGCAGTCAGGGCAGGAGCTTGGAGCAGAAATCACAGGGCAGTGTGATTTCTACACACAGTAGAAATGGTCCCATAAGACAGGATTATCTCTCACCCTACTCATTAAATTGTTCATTTTATTATTATTATTATTATTATTATTTATTATTATTATTATTAGTGTGTGTGTGTGTGTGTAGGGGTGCTGGCCTACATGTCATGACATATATGTGGAGGTCTCAGTTTGTAGTCCAGGTTGCTCTAGAAGTTTAAATAAACATCTATACTTATTATTATTTTGAGTTTAAGAGAATGTGAGCATGATATATAGAAGGGACAGGTACATGAATACACATGCAGGTTGGAGGACAACTTGGGGAGGTGATTCTTTCCTGTCTTTATACGGGTTCTGGGGACACAGTGTAGGTCATCAGACTGCCATCTGCCTTCTCCTGAGTACTGGCACTAGAGGCACACCAGAACTCAAACAGAGCAGCATGTCAGCTCAGCTGATGATTGGTTGTTTTTGACGCTGAAATGCCTTTTGAAACATGTTCCATGTATTAAGAATAGTGGTGACTACGTTTACCTTTTATCTTTGATTTCAAGAAAATGAAAAGGGCTCAGAATGACTTCCAAGGCAAAAACAAAGCAGGGAAGGAAGCAGGCACTGTGTTGCAGAGCACTCTGCTGCTGCTTGCCCGACTGTGACACACACAAGGGTTTGCACTGGGGTCACATAGCAGGAAAGCTGGTCTGTCCCCCCTTTCTCCCAAGCCTCATCACTCTTTCTGCCCACAGTCGGTTCAAGCACCTTCTCTATTCAGCCTTTTGCTGGGTTTGGCCACAGAGCTTAGCACTGAGAGTCTTCCCCAAGCAAAGGCAGGTAGACTTTAACTAGGAATGGTAACAGAGAAAGAGACAGGGTCTCTGCTGCCTAGGCTGAAGCTAGACTGGCATTTACGAAAGTTACCTGGCCTAGACTTCCCCTCAGGCCACAGTTTCCTGTTATATGAAGAGTCAAGTTTAAATGCAGGCTGAACTCATTAATGTGGTAATGACATGGCTGTTCTGTGCCTTGTATGCACCTAGTCTTAATCCTCCATGCTTTATAGAAGCCAAAGTGTGTCTAAGGCAGTGCACGGGAGTGGGGGCGGCGGGAATGGCTGCATCCTGCTCTCTCTTGTCAACAGACGCTAGTGCTGCAGTTGAGTGAGGAAGTCTTTCTTATATCCTCTGTGCTGTCACTTCAAACTATAAAATCCACCAGCTTTTAAGTCAGACCTACAAGATGGGATTTATTGTCACTTGACAGTAAGTGAGGCACAGGGGACCCAGCACACCACATCCCTGGGCAGCCTAAGCTCTTCTCACATGAGCTACTCTCAGGACCTTTAGTGGGTCTCTGGCTGTTAGAGCTTGTTCAGCTCGGCCAGTGAGCTGAGGAGAACACCCAGAACTTACTTTTTGTCCGCACCACTTGCAAGCTGAGGCAGGGCCTCCAGGGCCTGTTTAAAACTAGACCTGAAACACAGAAGCACATGAGCTCAGTCCGCATTCTGAGCAGAATTCACAGGGGACACTGTAGACTTCCTAAGCACATTTTAAATGTAAAGAAACTGACGAAGGCCAGTGACGTTAAGTGGAGATGCGTGAGAAAGAGTAAAAGAGAAAAAGAGCAGAAAAAGAAAAAGTAGCAGCAAGGCTAAGTGAGCAGAGCTGCAGGGCCTTCTGAGAGCACAGCAGAGACTGACCCAGACATGGGGATGCTGTTCAGGAGGGAGGGGAGGCTGCTGTGTGTGTGTGTGTGTGTGTGTGTGTGTGTGTGTGTGTGTGTATGCGTGCAAGGGGGGCAGGAAGGAAAGGGAACTTTCTTTTTAAAACAAAGCTATAGGTAAAGTAACTGTGCAAATGGGAGGAGAGTAAGGAGATATGGACGGTGTACAGAACAGTATTCAGGACAGTCACAGCATGGACAGGGACAAGACCTACTTTACAGCCATGTCTCCTCAGAGTGGACATGGGGGACAGGATCTAGTTCTTATCAGAATTAATGTGGAGAGGAAAGGAAGGTATTTGTATATAGTTTTGAACAATATCTTTATGTGAGAAAGGTAAAATGAATGAATTGAAAAACCACCTATTTAGTATGTTTGGTTTTTGCCAAGTAGAAAGTACCAAAGAGTTACTGAGCAGAATGAGGATCACAACAGAGAATTTATTTGACAATAACGACTGCTCCTAAGAACAGGTCTGAACTTTTCATGTCCTCTATTGTTCTAGAGGATCTGAAGAAATAAATGCTATCACTACTGATGTGTGTGTGTCGGGGAGGAGTGTCTCCTATCTTGTATTAAAATGATACTCTTCAGTTGACCAGGAGGTGAATGTCTGAACAATGTTTCTTAAACTAAGGGCATGTTAAAAGAATGAAAAGTCCCCAAAGAGTCACAAAAATGCCTCTGGGAATCTTCCATTCTCCCTAGCCGAGGTAGAGTGTGGGCAGGGACAGTGTGTGTGGACATATGAGGCTGCCTTGTCCTGTTCAGTAGGCTCTCCTCTTTCCTTAGGGAGATGGAAGTCCCGTCCTACTGTGTCTGCCACATCTCCTTCCCCACAGGCCATGATTAACTGAGACAAACACGCTGCGCCATTGTTCTTTGTTGTGAGAACAAAATAATGGTGACGAAGATGAAGGCCATGCTATCCTGTGTGGAACACAAAGGTGACCAGACACATGCTACTGACCTTACAATTCTGTCTAACAGCTCACAGGTTGAGCCATCTCTAATCCGAAATTCAATGTGTTCCAAGATTTGAAATGTTTAGAGCACCAATAAAATGGAAAGTTCCATACCAAGCACTATTTTTTTTTCATGTTCATTTTATGTCCATGGGTATTTTGACTGGATGTATGTCCATGTACCACAGGCATGACTGATGGGTGTAGAGGGTAGGGGAGAGCGTTTGGTCCTCTGAGACTGAGTTGCAGATTGTGAGGCAGCAAGTAAGTACTGGGACTTAAACCCAGATGCTCTGTCAGATCTGCCAGTCATCTTTACTACTGAGCCATCTCTCCTTAAGCACTAAATGATTAAGAAACTATTCAATTACCTTTATTCATGTGTATAGGTGTAATGAACATAAATACACTCCTTGTTTAGAAGAGTTCCATCTTCAAGACAACTGTCACAAACACACACATGAAAGCTGAACATACGTTGGTTCCCAAGTATTTTGATACAGGATATTCAATCTGTACTATCATGCTTTTATAAACAAGGAACCTAGTTCATTAAAGGTTAAGTTTAAGAGGATAAATGGACATTCATATTAAGCAATATGGACTGGGTACTTCCTGTATCATTTTCCAAAAAAAAAAAAAAGGAGTGGTTGGGAAAACGTGTTTTTAAACAACGATCATAGGAATCATCTAGAAACAGCTTGTGGTATACCATGGGAAGTAGGAGGAGGCTAATTTTATTTGTTAAGAACATAATGAAAGTTTTCAGTTGTGACGGTGGCTGTAAGGGAGAAGGCACAGCCATGTTATCAGACACTGGAGATGAAATGAGCAGTCTCCTGCGGGTCCCTGTGCTCACGGCACAGCTCAGACTTCCTGGGCAATGCTGTGAGTGTGGCAAACAGCTCTGCACGCAGGCAGCTCTGTGCATCTGACCTGCTGATGTCTCAAGAGTAGGAAATCCCGACTTTCATTCAAAACAGCTAAAAGTTACCATCAACTTTCCACTACAAAACTTTGCAAAGAAACCACAGGCTTCCTCTTACTCTGATATTTACTACACTTAAACTGTCCTTCAAATCTGATAAAGATTTAATTTCCTTAGCCTTTAAAAAAAATAAAAAAAAAAGTATGTCATGCTTGGCCATATTATTTATGAGACAAAGGTTTGTAATTAATGAATGAAAAAAATTAAATTTATACTGTGCTCTAAAGAAGTGGCCTTGAGAATCACTGTCTTACTACAGGCTTGAGCTTTTTAGTAAAAAATTCTGATGAAATATTAACTCCATTTCAACACAAATTCATGAGCATTTTCTTTGTAAGTTTTCTGACAGAGGACACAATACACAAGCACAAGGAAGAGTGCACAGGAACACTCGGCATCTTACCTGCTTTCCGGGGTCAGGTAAATGGCTACAGTGTCCCTCAGAGCACAGATTTCAAGTCTGGCCTAAAGATGAGAAAAAGGCAAGAGTAACAACTGTCAGGCAGCAAATGACAAGAGCTGGGGAGATAGTGCCACATGCTTACTGCAGGCCAGGCTGAGGGGACAGTCCCAAGTGCTCCCTGTAGCCCAGGCTGGCCAGAACAACAGACTCTCAAAGAATGGTCCTAAAATACCAGTGTGTCCTTTAACCCTGCTGTCACATATGACTGTGTGGGCAGGGGCTGGCCATACAGCCATGAGAATTCCTACCAGACTAGCATTTGCCTTTTGGTTTGGTAGTGGGAAGGACAGACCTGAAACGTTAGCCTGAGTGGCTGGGCTTGCTTCCGGATACCTACTACACCCTTTTAGATACACTGTCTCCTCTCCAAGCTCTATGAAGTCAGTCCAATCTCTGCTAAATTTGTGAATAAGCTTTAAAAAACCAAAAGACAATTGACAAGTTAATCCTAAAATTCATATGGAAATGCAAAGTTCCCAGAGAAGTTAAAATGATGTTGGAAAACAACAATGCATTTGGAAACCTCACATTTTCTAATTGCAAACACTCTCACATCAGGGTGGCACCAGACATGACAGGCACAGAGCTAAACGATACAGAATGAGAGCCAACTGATTTCAAGAAGGGCTACAAACTGTTCCGTGGGGAAAGCATCCACTCAATGAATAGAAAAAACACAACTGGATCCACATACGGAAAAAGGAAGCCTGAGCCTTCCTTCATATAATTAAAAATAAATGTAAAAGAAAGACAGCATCCTAACTTGATGTCTGGCTTGATGGCCAAAGCTGTTTTATTCCCAGGACACATAAACATCAAATCAAATCAAATCCAGGCAGTGCAGCAGGGAGACAAAACACAGAGAGACCTGTGACCACCGTGTGAGTCATGGTGACCACCATGACTGCCATGCCACCTACAGACCTGCCGTCCCCAATGCAAGGCAGGCAGGTTGTAGACACCAGCTTGCAGAAGGATATCACCCAGGGGCCTGGCAGCTGCATGGCCAGCCTGTAGCAGGAGCCATACAATGTGTGAGTGAGTATGTGGTGGACAGACGGGAGAGGAAGAGAAGTGGGGCAGCTTGAACATTATGAAGAGAGGTGGAACTGAGACTTGGGGGAAGAGGAGGAGCCTGTTGTGAGTATGGGCCATGGTGAGGTCCCAGCCTGAGCTGCTGCTGAGGGCCATGTCTGGGTCCATGGCTACAAAGCAATTGGGGTCGGTATCAGTGTCTGTGGCTCATATTACCCCTAGAGAACATGGTCCTGGCTGAGACAGCCACTGGGAGCATGCAGAACTGGCCTTGCTCTTCACTGGCAGCAGTGCTCTGGAGACCCATCCCCATTCCACCCTGACCCACAGCAGCGATGGCACTGGGAGAGTAGGCCCTGCATCTCAAGCAGCTCAGACAGTACAAGAGAGCTGGTCCTGATCCAGCAGGCTCCATAAGCCAGCATCAAAGCCGAAAGACAGGGATAGCTGGCCTCACCACTTGACTGCTGTGAGGTGGCGTGGGTGCAGGGGTGACACCCTCCCACCTCATCACCTGTGGCAGTCAGGAGAACTGGCCCTGCCTCCTCACTGGCTATAGCAGTCTGGAGAGTGGCCCTGCACCTTGCCTGGACAAAACAGTAGAGCTAGCCCTGATGGCGATGGTAAGGGTGAGCCAGCCTTGAGGCTGTGAGAGCAGGAGAGCTAGCCCAGGCCCTCTGAGGCTGCAGCACTTGGGAGAGTGGGCTTGACTGAGCAGCACAGTGGAGCTCTCTCTGGAGGCTTGGGCAGGTGAGCTGCCTGAGAGGGCATGAGAGCAGGAGAGCTGACCCTGCCTCCCGTCAAGGGCAGCACTGGGGAGCTTGCCCTGGTGGTGCAGATATGGGAGAGCCACTGTGACATACTACAACTTCCATGTTGAGATGCAGTAACACACCATTGGGAAAGGGAAACCACAGTTCAGAGAATGAGACATAGCTGCACAGCCAGGATGATGACCATGGTCTACAGGACAGTTTGTAACAAGTGCTGGTAAGGCAAGGGGGTAACAAAAGGCTTTGCTAGTGACTGCCGGGTGGACAGCAGTGTCATTGCTCTGGAAAATAGTCTAGCATTCCTCTGAGGAGATATGCACCACCCCACTCACTGAAGCCACACACAAACCTGTATTCTTTTTTATCTTGAGATAGTCTTGATGAATTGCCAAGCTGGCCTTAGAATCACTGTACAGGCCATGGAAACTCTGAATTTGCCATCTTCCTGTCTCAGCCTCTTGAGGAGCTGGGATTGCAGCTACATTCTTATCTCAAGTTTCCTTGTCTCAGGAGGGTTTGTCAGAGTGGAATCTGACCAAGCACATGTGTTCAAGGCATGAGCCAGGAATCTGGGTTTTGCACACAGGGCTGAAATGCTGCTCTCTGAGATACTTGCTTGTGTTTGGGGCAGCTCCGAAATCTAACCACAAAGATGATAAGATTTGTATTGAAGTGGAATAACCTTCAGGCTAAAAATCCAGGAAAAGTGGGAAATTTACTAAAGTATCATTTTTTTCTAAGTCTACTCCTTCAATGCCAGTTTGTTCTTGGTGTCATTTGGTATTTACTTAATATAGATGTTAAGTTTGCAAGTGTTGACTGCAGCAAGCAGGCATGAAAAAGCTTCCTCAACTGTCAGCTGAAGAAATGTCACTGTGTTTTGTTGTTGTGTGTCTGCACACACATGTATATTGTTAAGGAGTGAACATGCAGGGTTCCATAGAAGCCAAGCACACCCTATACCACCAAGCTATACCTACATTCCACCACTGCTTTTGAAATGCATACTGAATGTCTCAATGCACAGATAGCTTACAAGCAGGAGGCCACTGACCCTCTACATGTGCACTTGTGTCATAATAGTTACCTCACCAAGGAGGAGACAACTATTTACATCTTTGAATTACACATCACTGAATGCTTTGGAAACACATGGAAGAACTCTATGTGTCTGTGTTAAATAGTTCTATAAAACTCTTAAACATCTTATCCTGTTTTAATCCCTGAAATAACTTGTGGGAATTGCAGAGCATACAAAGTATGAGTGTGTGTGTGTGTGTGTGTGTGTGTGTGTGTGTACCTGTTCAATTACCACAGGCATGGAAAACACCTGCTGTGCCTATAAAGCTAGTAGTTAACACACAGTTTCCTATTTAAAGAATTTCTTCACGATGTTGGATGAGTTTGGTACCTGCAATGCTCCATTTCTGCTGAAGGATGAGACACATTGCATCAGCCGGCTCAGCTCTTCAGAGACGGCTTCGACCACTCTGGCCAGGACCCGTGGCACCAGTTCTTTGGAAATAGTGAACACCTGATGGAGGTTTAGAATAAAAAGAGACAGTGCATTATATACACTTTTCCTGGCTTGTGTCTGTCAATAACAAAGTAATAAACAAAACAAGACACACACTTATATGTAAACTTTTGTTTTTAAGGTTTATTTTATTGTGTATGTATAAGTGTTTTGCTTATACATATGTATGTGTGCCAGATGTAGCCTGCTGCTTGTGGAAATCACAAGACAACATCAGATCCCCTGGAATTGGTGTGGTTATGAGCCAGCATGTGGTACTGGGGACCAAACCTATGTCTTCTGCAAGAGCAGCAAGTGCTCTTACCTACTGAGCCATCTCTCCAGTACCTAGATGTACACTTTAGCTGTATTTACTGATTACTGACAAAAACAACTTCTTTTTTTTTCTTTCTTAAAGCAATTTTTATCTTTATTATAAAGGCTAATTCCGCTTTTTTTTTAAATTTCTTTTTTTTTTTGAACATGAAATGCTTTTTTATAGCATGTTTTACAAGGGGAGGGGGTAAGAGGGGCCAGGTGGTGGAAAAGTACAAAATCTTCTTGGCCTGTGCCTTGAAACATGTCATGGTCTATATGGTACACTGCCTTGAATTATGATCTACCTGCTGTTCTTCAGAAGATAAAACAACTTCTTTTTAAAAGGCATTGGAGGTGTTGACTAAAAATTGTTTTGAAAATTTTGTCTTTTTAATATGTCGCCTTTATATGAAACACAATTTTCAAAAGTGTGTGTGTGTGTGGAACCATCTGAGTATGTATGTGCCACAATTAAAGAAAGATTAAGTGAACAAGGGGATTGGAGTAGTGGTGTGCACCTGTTCTCTTGACTACTCAGACAGATGAGTAGAGGAGTCCCTCAACCTGGGAGTTTGAGTCTAGCTTAGGTAACACAGTGAGAAACTGTCATATAAATACATAAGAGTTTCACTATTCTGTATTGGATAAGCATTCCAGTTTTACTGTGTGCTATAAATACATTATTCCTTTTTACTTGACAAACAACAGTATTGTTAAATTTTATTTCTTTATTTAATTTGTATATTCCTCTCCCTCCCCCCCTTCTCTCTCTCTCTCTCTCTCTGTGTATGTGTATACACGCATGCACATATACCTTTGCATTTATGTGGAGGTCAGGGGATAACTTTTGGGAGCTGGTTCTCTCTTCCACTACATGGATTCTGGGTATCACACTCAGTTTATCAAGCTTGGCGTAAGTGCTTTATCTGCTGAACCATCCTAGTGGCCCTATTCCTAATTTTAACATATGACAGGGTTGTTATCTGCAGGTTTAGTATTTTTACCCTCCTAATTCATAAATTCAAGAATGTTTCCTTTTTAACTTTGCCTTTTCCCACTTTGAGGAGCTAGTGTTAATTAAACATTTGTGTCAACCCAAACAATTTGGCAGTTTAAGATTTTATCACAAATGGTAGTCCTGGTGAAACCTACTTTGGTTTCTGGGCTAAAGTAAAAGGGGACTTGAGAGGCTGATACTTAAATAATATCACAGCTGTTGATAATGGCTAATAGCCAACCTTGTGGACAGGACCAGCCTGACCCTTACAATCCTGGTATCTGCAGTTCCTCTGCTCTCTGCATACAAGATGTTCCTATCCACCAATGATTTCACTTATGCTTTAATCTCAAGAGAAACTAACACAAGAATTATCTCATAGCAACTCCTGCCAGAGCTAAACCACATAAGATCTTTCTAGAGAGAAGCTCATAAGCTCCTCTGCTAAAACGTGGAAATGTAACGAGGCGACATCACTTCTGTTTTCTATGCTGTCATCCCCTTCTGCTTTCGCTGTCCGTATCTGTACGTCCTTATTCATATGTGTCCAGATACCATGATGGTCTCCAAACCTTCTAGACAGGAAGGCCATGCCAGCAACTGCCTGGATGCTAGAGCTAAGTGGAGGAGGCACCTGAGCAACACTGGTGACCCTTTTGGCTTTTATGGTTTCCCATTCTTCTATGAGCCACCTTGAGAGTGCTAGTAATGGAGCCCATGTTAGACTGTGAGATCACTGCATGACAATTCAGGCAGCAATGGTCACTGTGGCACCAAAGGTGGCAGCCTGTTTTTCAGTGTGCCTCAGAATGACGCCCACTCCTAGGATGGTTAGGAAGGAGGACGGTATGAAACCTCAGATGATAACTGTGGGGGACAAGTGTGTGAACCATGGGCAGTAACATCTACACACACCAAAGCAACACAGTTAATTTACTGACTTCAGTATTAAGGATCACATAAGACATGTATAGGTCCATGAAAGTCTGTTTTACACACACACACACACACACACACACACACACTCATGCTCACAAACACACAAAGATGTATGCACACAGATACAAACTCAAGAAAATGCACACAGAGACACACATGCACACCAACACACATAGGCATACACAGACACATGCATACATGCACATACACACACAAAAAGACACACATGCAGACATATATGCATACACACAGACACATACATACACAAAAGCTGAGCTCGATTTTACTTACATGCCCAAGATACATTTTGAAGAGGAAAAAGAGACCCCCTCCTCTTGTGAATAATAATCCAATTTGCTTCTTTCCTTCTTCCCCCTCAATTACCTACTTTTGTAGGAACAGTTAATGACAGCTTACCTCTGCATGCACAGCAATTATATTCACCAATGCTTCTTTTAAATAGTTTCTGACACCTGAAATCAACATGGGGGAAGGGAAATGCACTCAGTGAAATCCTCAGCCAGCTCTCTTCTCTGCAGCATCAGAATGCAATTGCCAAAGTGGTCGGAGGTGAAACTGAAAATAACACCATTACTGTCCATTTCCTTTAGAGATCAAAATGGTGAAAGGACTATTTCTAGAGAGGTAAAAACCAAAACAGCTTAAATGAGAAATTTTCTTTCACCCCTTTTCATTCCTATCACTGTTTGTTCTGAATTTACTAACAGTTGGTCTCAAAATCAAAACTTTAAAGCATCCTTATATTCACATGTGTATCAGACAAAGTACAGAGAACCAAAGGAGAGTGCTGATGTCTGTAAAACTCATGTTAGACATCATAGCATTATACAGAATGACACTTTGATTCTACGGAATCACTTTAATTAATTTCTCTCTATGTGTGTGCACGTACATGTGCATGTGTGTTTACATGTAGCATGAATGTGCAAGTACCTGCTGAGGCTAGAGGGTATCAGTTCCACTGGAACTGGAGTTATAGGCAGTTGTAAGCCAAATGGCACGGATGTTAAGGACCAAAACATGGTCCATTGCAAGAGCAGTAAGTGCCCTAAACTGCTGAGCCATGTTTCCAGCCCATGAGTGACTTTCAAAATAGAAAACCTTAAAGGTCTTAGAGATCACCCAGAGGGTTAGAGTGCTCGCTATGCAAGCATGAAGACCATGCATGAAAAGCAAACACCTATGCAAAGTGCTGGGCTGGTCAAGGCTGTTTGTGCCTTTAACCCCAGTTCTACAGGAGGTGGCAGGTCAGGGGGATGGAAAGGGGAACAAGAAGATCATAGGGGAGGCAGAGGCAGGCGGATTTCTGAGTTCGAGAGTTCGAGGCTAGCCTGGTCTACAGAGTGAGTTCCAGGACAGCCAGGGCTACACAGAGAAACCCTGTCTCGAAAAACCAAAAAAGAAGAAGAAGAAGAAGAAGAAGAAGAAGAAGAAGAAGAAGAAGAAGAAGAAGAAGAAGAAGAAGATCATCATCATCATCATCATCATCATTGGGGCTTCCTGGATGTCAGCCTAACTGAGGTTCAGTGACAGACTCTGCCTCAAGGAGGGTAGGTAAATAGTGACAGAGCAGGATACACAGGTGTGCACCCCAAATGTGCCCATCCATATACCCTATTACATGCAACAACAGCTTGCCACATAATTAATTAGACCTGATTCTGTAAAACAAGTTAAAGACGGGACATAATAAAGATGTCAGACTGTCGGTCCAACATTAATGAGCATAGCTTGAGTTACCAGCAGCACCCGGATTATGGGTGCAGAGCATCATCACAGCTTTTTGAGCCAACTACATCCTAGCTGTGACTTCCGGTGAGAAGGCCTTCCCACTTGTCCAGTAAGTATAGATTTTTCCAGACTGCAGTGAGGACTAATGGTGACCACATGCGCATATCCTACAGTTCACCAAGTTCTTTACCAGGTCATCATTGCTGTGTCTAAGAAAAACGTAAAAGCACAGTATTGTTTTCCTATAACCCCAAAACGACTGCTTTCCTTTGGAGTGGAATATTCTAGACTGTCTTCTAGAATCAATTACAAAGGCTGAAGGGCAGCATTCTCTCAGAATGTTACCCATAGCTTGGACAGGCAGAGACCATTAACTACTATCTTTTTTTTTTTTTTCCTGGTTGTTTTGAAGCAGGATCTTTTGCAGTCCAAGCTGGTCCTGAACTCACTATGCAGCCAAGGATGACTTTGAATTCATGATCCCTCTGACTACCCTTTCTGGGTGCTAGGATTACAGGCATAACTCCAAGGGTAGGAAGCAGGGCTGAAAAGGGACCTAAGAAAGTGAAATATATAAACGTGCAGAACACAGCAGCTCCTCCAGTCAAAGAAAAGCCATGCCATGGACGGCCTCTGCAGCTGCTGGGAATGCGGAGCTGGACTTTGAGCATCACTCTGGGTGTTAGAGCGGGCATCTGAACGTGTACCATTCCAAAGTTTGGTCACTGAGAGAGAGCAGCTAGTGTGTGTTCATCTCTATACACCTAACATGCACAATTACAAAACCAAGCCCAGCACGAGAGCAGTGATGCTCTAAGGAGCCAGGGGTTAAAACTCAACAGCCTCTGTGGAACCAGGCTCAGAGCCACTGCAGTGCAGCTCCCAGCAGCGATACCTGCACATGCACAGGCAGTTTTACAACTTAAAAAGCTCTTTAATGTAAAGTGAGAGTGCAGCTCCAGTGCTGACTATTAAGCCAAAAATTAAACTTCCACTCAAACAAGGCAGGCACATGTCCAGTGACCACATACCATGAACACAACTCCCTCTCTGACCCTGATAGGAAAAGCATCTGGCAAAGAATATTACACCAACCATCACTAACAAAGTGTCCCATAGCAGAAACAGCCCTGGATTAGTCAACACAATTCTATCTATCTATCTATCTATCTATCTATCTATCTATCTATCTATCTATCTATCT